CAGAGAAATAACAGATGCCATACATCCTTGTATATGTCAGAAAATGCAATCGTACACTCAAACTGTGCCACTAGTTTGATAGAGCCACCGTAGGCACTTGTGGCTGTGCGTGTGATTTGTATCAGTGTAGGACGGCGGATGGAGGACCACAGTTGTCTCGAATCAATGACAATTTCTGAAGCCGTATTGAACTGCAGCCGTGCCGGATATCCATTCATAAAAGGACGCATATGCTGTCTAGGAGTAGCCTCATCCAATTTGAAACGTGCGATCAAACTCATTGGCTGACCCCCAGGTATATCAGATTTGTAGCGGGGTCTGAGGTTCCGTTTGACTGATCGAGGGTTACCGTGATTCTTACATTTATTGATCTGTTGGTTCGTTTGCTGGTGCTAGTGCTGCTATGGTTCTTTCATAGTGGACAAAATCGATGGAATTAACATGCCCCACAATATTTACATGGCGATGGCGGTCGACGAATACTTGGGGGAGTGGGGGTCTGGGTCTCTGTGGCAGTTTCCGGCATGTTGACATAGCGTGCAAAATTGGTGTGGGCTTGTTTTGTTGCTGGTTCATTGCCGTGTCATGTTTTAGGTTCGCAATGCGTTCACATTCCTTGATCAAGTATTGCAACTTTACATTTGGGTCTTGATCAATTTTCGCCAACAACCTGATACGAACGTCTTCGTATCGAGGAGCTCGAAGACCACAAATGAAAACAAGGCGTTAGAACTGATCCTTTGTGAGCCTACCGTAAGTGCCAAAATCGTCATCGTCTTCCTTTTATACTTGGAGACAATTGAACCGAATATTGAATAAGGGAACCGTTTGTCCGATTATCTTCTTTAGCGGTTTGCTCGTATCGGGGAACTTCAGTGTTCGTGGTTCCGCCGGAAGTATGTAGTTGGAGTAACGGTTATGTTCTGTTGGATCCAATTGGCATAACAGAAGACAAATTCGTGGGGCTTCATCGTAGGAACCATGCTCGCCCGTGAATATGTCCTCATAGCATTTATACCATGATTCGAAGGAGAAAACAGCATCCGGATCATGGTGAACATCTGGTATATTGCGAACAATATGGTCTGCAGTGTAAGAATCAGAAAAGATTGATAATCCTGTGCCAGCCAGACGAGCATTCAGCAATTGCATCAGGTGTAACTGAGCTCACATCATGACCTTGACGTCATTCGCGTTGGAGTTCAGTTTTGACACTGTGACACTCCCGTCGCCAATTTGTTATGTCACCAAATTGTTATATCCGTTGCCTACTATTAGGTTGCACAGCTTCATATCCCAGATGAATACCGCAAGTGCAAGGAACATAAGATATAGCACGGGAACACGGGAACAGAGGACTAGCATCCATGAAATAATTTATCTTACTGTGATTTTTTTCAACGACTGGTATTCAGGTTTTCACTCCTAGGAATGTGCAAAATCTGAGGCAGTAGATGGACTGTATTGTTTTCAGATTGTGGCGTCAAACGGAATATGATATTTCACGGGTTACTTGTTTCATCGAGAGAGAAAACATACTAAGAATTATTTGTGAATAATGATTTTCCCCTATAGTTGACAATGTTTTCCAATGTGCACAGATTAATCTGGTTGAACTTTTCTTAAACCCCAATTTGGTAAGACGAATAACTTGTGTCTCTGTTTTTGTATAACTTTTGCAAGCTTAATATGCTTACATTCCAGTTAAAACGTTGTACACTGATCTTCACATAGGAAAAACATAGTGTCTCTGGAATTTGATTCAATCAAATAATTATTGACGTAATTCATTTAGAACGTTCCCCTCGTTGGTCAAGATTCGAGCCAGATATGGTACAGGAATTTCGTATAAATGTTTATTTGAGATGGTAGATATCGATAAACGGAACAAGAGATCGAGTGGGATCGATAAGAACATAAATAAGGATGCAAACGATGGGTGGGGTCGTTTAGAATTTTATTGGCAAAGGTCACACAGGACTTCATATGACCATTATTAAGTGATTAACGATTAAGCAGAAATTAAACATGCACGGCTCATTATCATCAATCCACAACGGATAATTTTAAAGTTTTGTTTCAAAAGACCGGGAAACAGTACAAGGGAGTAGTAAAGTAAAATAGAGAGAACGCATTGTTTAACAATAGAAAACAAAACTTGTTGAGGAGTGCGAAATTGTCTGAGCTTTCGGAGCTGAAAGGAGAGGCGCCGAAGTTTCCCCAAACAGTTCTGAATGTGTGTCGGCCACCGAAGATCATTATTATTGTCGATATTAACACTTAGATATTAGGCTGAGGTCACTCTAGACAAAAGACTACTATTAAGGGTTACAGAGTCCGACGGGAATGTAAAGCGTAAGAACTAAAAATACATTCCAAGCACTTATGTGTTCAGGCTGAGGCCAGACTGGTTTGCAAACTGTTATATTTGGGACAGATTTTCAGTGAAGGAGGAAAATTTTGAGAAGAAACAAATAGTCTGACATAAAACGACATCCTCAGCACACTTGTGGAAATGAGCAGGGTGTGAAACTGAAAGATCACTGATGAAAGCAGACGAAAGATAAGGAGATATGACAGTGCCTTAGAGCGCACCAGAATTTATGATCACAGGACTTGAGATATTCCTGCCCAGTGGTTTCTAATGAATTATTTCCGTGAAATAATCGGGGTGCGAAGCGATTCAAGCTTAAAACGAAGGAATGACCGGGACACAGAATATTAGGCAGACAAATCATCAAGAAAAACACAACAATCAAATTTCGCAGAGTTTTTCAATTACCTACTTTAAAATTGGACCACATTAGACGGAGCATTTAAATTGGATCTGTTGGGTTTATACGTGAACTGACTAGGATCATGGGGAATGATGAAAAGTGACTGTAAGCGACGCAGAATGGCTTTCTCAGTCAACTTTAGAACCACAGATGTCAATGGAATGGGACAAAATCGTTTTAAAAGAACGGTCGAGGATGAGGTCTTTGGAACAGGTGTTATCGTCATTGGTCGCCAAGACTCGGGGATCATTCCTGTAATGAGTGCCAATGTTCAGCAGGTGAAAAGTCAGTATCATTGACCTTGAAATTTTATGATCTTATGATTATCGCTCTTGACATGTGGTTTGCTACTTGACGCATTCATCCGAACATACAGAGATGTGACGATCAGACGATCTTTGTTCTTCCTCTCGCTCTGGGCAATCCAGGAACGTTACAAACTGTGCAGAAAGAGGCTCGTTGATGAAGGATATTATCATACTAGTTAAAGGGACAACCACAAACTTGAGAAACGCTGAATAAAGTCCACCAGGGCTCACAAATTATGACGGTCTGAAGGAATATAGAAGCTACAAATTTCATCATTGGAAAAACAGATCAGATCAGAATTAGAAACCTCACATAGGAATAAGGGTATCTGATTATCTTTGGACGGATGAAGAAATGTAGCGTTATGACCATTTACATCAACATCACTGTTCTGGTTTTTCTCTTTTTTGTCTGCAAAGATAACGAATTTCTTCGGCATAGAAACCTTGTATTCTTCCTCCGCAAGAGTTAACAAGCGAACGTCTTGTTTACACGTGTTATCTCAACCTGAATTAAGTTAGCATCGCATTTTACAGCAGATGGATGATGAGATTTATAGGATCGTTCCTTTTGTCTTCATAACGAGTTCAAACTAAGAGATGCAATTTTGCCGTTGCAAGCAAACAGTGTTTCCATGGGACAGAAAAATGGAAGATTGATTTCACCATTTCGTTGCAAAGACTGACACAGTTACGAAGTGATGAACAAGAAGCAAATTAAGATTGGACAACCGTTATGGAACGACAGAGAACAGAAATGCGGGGTTAATGAAAAGTTACGGAGATGATCGTATGGATATGTAGAGCGAGAGTATATGTTTGGTTTTAAGAGGAGAGCACAATTATCACTGGTAGCGAATGGAGCTATTAGTTTGAGAGAAAACAAAGTGGATTAGTTTGTGATTACTCTGTCAAGTATATAGCTGCTTCTGGTAAGAAAGTGAGACACATCGGATAGGCCAATAGAACGCAGAGGGCAAATGCTTTGATGGTTGCAGTCATCAACAGCCAAATGAATATTTTCGTCTAACATTGGAACCAAAAACTGAATGCAGTGATCAAATAACTAAGAAATATCTGTTTGGACGCACGAAGGAAGTATGTATATACACATTAGTAATATTCATGCTTTTATATCGGGAAATTCGGGATGACAAGGAACGGATAAAAAGTCAATGTATTTTTCAGAACAACTGAATATCATTCCAAACTTGCCACACTACCTCCGGTTTTATTCCTGATATGTTTTCTATCCTGCCGGTAACAGTCAAAACGATCTATCTGCATGAGGGCATCCTTAATGTTTTGATTTACCTATGTTTCTTGTATGCATGCGACTCGTGTTGGAATGGAGGCGTATGTTCAGTGAAGAAGTTAAATCCTAGATATTTGCAAACTGGGAGCGAACGTCGGTACTGACCAATTACAGCACGGCCATCTTGGCAGAAGGGGTGTAATTAAGCGCACATTGCCATCCCGTACGCTTTCGCTTCTTGATCCAAACATGATTGCCAGATTCTGCAAACCAATTAGTTGTGTGTAGCACAGAATTCACAGATTTCAATCTGAGCACATCCTGACGAGAGTAGTTATAGTTCCGAAGCATGTCTGACATCGAGTTAACAATAAAATTCATCGAGACGGCGAGCACACAAAACGTAGCGCAGCCAATCAAAGGGCTTTGGTTTGTCATTCATCAGTCCTACTCTTACTTATCCGTCTCACGAAAGTCAGTAATGAACTGGAATTGGAATTGCGTAGAGAGAACCGATATTCTTTTCAAAATGTTCCAAACACAATGACATTCCATAGACCCGAGCAGCAAAACTTCGATTTCAGCAATAATTCATGACTACACCCCTGAGTGACCTCCTCAACTCCATGCCCCGGCATTTCACTATCAACGTTTTTTGACGGATGAAAGACCATTATCGTATCTAGTGTTTTGACGTTGAAAGTTTTGTTTTATCTGCAGGTTTCAAAGGCTCGTCATCTGAGTAGTGCTAATAATTCTCTCTGGCGTTCACGTCAGACATCAGAAATGGTAGGAGACAGATGGCACATCTTGTACATGCACCGCTGGTTTACAGTATTTATTTCAAACGGGAATTCGTCATGTATATAACCAGAAAAGTGTGAACTGAAAAGCTGGGAAGCACTGGACAGATGTTTTGACCTAGTTGGGTCTCATCAGCAATGCGAATCCATCGATCCAACTGGGGATCGAAACCGGGACCTCATGGGCAGACCGCAAGAACGCTATCCGCTTTGGCCACCGGGTAGCTGATCAGACTGTTTCTCACTTTCCAATTACGTGATATATCACAACTCATATTTAAGAGCTTTTTACAGGCATTAGACTTAGCTTTCCAGTTTACACTTTACTTTCCATATGCATGACAGATTCCCCTTTGAAACTGAATCATGTCCTTCATTACGCAGTTGAAACAAGTGTCCATTTTGTTCAGTTTATGGAAATAGAGAAAAACAATATGTACTCTACCATGTAGTAAGAAACAGTGTTTGCAGAATTGAAGCTAGGGTTTTGATTTGTTTTCTTTTTGAAACCCAAATAATGAAATCTGTTGATCAGAGAATCATTACCAAAAATACACCGAGGTTTGCAGAGTATATGCGAAATGAGAGGAGTATCACGTGATGCGTTGCAGACTATTATGAAGGCGCGCCTTTTGATAAAGTAGATTTGGGTAAGTGGGAAAATGAAATCACTGACAGGTAAAGATAATTAACACCTATNAACCGAACGGGAGCAAAAACTGAACAGATTCAATAAAATACTAATAACTTGGATTTCCAGAGAATGGGAAAGTTTCATCTATACCCACGCCCGATTTTGCAAGCCAATTACACTATATCCCTGAGGAAGATGTTAAGTCAACGGAGAGACGAAACTTAAAACATTGGATTCTCTTTATCCAATTAGTTAGAACCGAGTGAAGAGAAATACTGTGAGGTGTTAGCATTTCCTTGGATCTCTTT